ATCTCATTCAGAAGGTTATTTCCAGTGTGTGATATCAGAAAAAAGACCCGACAACTGACGGTGTCCGTTGGTGGCAGCAGACAAGTAAAACCTTGACACATCCAGGCAGGAGACTAATTATTCCAGGATTCGATGCATGTCAGCGGTTGTATGGAATTTTTTGGAGAATTTGCGCCCAGTGCTGGCAATATGGGGCTCATTTCTTGTTGCATCGGGACACAGTCATGTGACTGTGATGCGCGCGGCAAAGGCATCATCACCGTTATAATGATTAATAAAATGGCATTAATGGCCTCGCAGGGATTAATTCATATTGGGGAATGCACAAATTCAATAAGTGCTGTATTTGTAGCTACGCAATCAACATCAAAGTCTGCACTTGTGTATTTATAGCCCACACAATTGATCCAGAGGGTGCGGAATTGCGCTTCCCGGGGGAAAAAACACCGTTCAAGGTTCGGGGACAACTGAAGGCTGTTGGGCCGATGGAGGAAGTGCATTGTGACGGCCATGAGAAGCTCGGTTCAAAAGCACTGCGAATGGGTCCAGTGGGTATTCCGATCTATGGATTCCGTGACCATACCGGAAAAGTTCTGCACCTAACTGTCATACCCAACAACCGCGATGAGGACACTATTGGACATGTATATCTTGACTTTGTCGAGAGCACAGGTGGTGAGCAGATTCCTGTTGACATCCTTCAATGGCTCACCAGTACTGCAGAAATGCCAGTGCAGCTTACGTTCGACGGTGGTAACGAGACGGGCCTTATGAAAGCACTTCAACAAGAACTTCGGTGAGTGTTGTTTTGTGCATACCTGAATGTAAAACTCATTGAATTTTGCAGTCGCAGTCTCCTAGCAGACGAGCTCACTGAACTCGATCGGCCATCAACTGTCACGTTGAAAAGCACAGATAATATTCCGATTGAGTCTCTGTGGAGCTATTGGCAGACCTACGCTGGGCGGAATATCAAGGAAATAATCCTCCAAGGGAATGCAAATGGGCTATTTGCCCCTGGGAACCCAAACCATGTGTCAGTGACCATTGTCTCAATACAATATTCTATCGACACTTACATTCTTGACAGGAACTTGTTCCAATGGTTGTGGTCCCGCATCATCCAGCTTCATCTTGATGAGTTCCAGGACCACTGGAATACGACCTCGCGTCGTTCACAGAAGTTTAAGCTGCTGCCAACGGCCGCACCTGAGATGATTTTCTTTTATCCAGAGCGGTATGATATGCTATACTGTGGGACAACAGTTCCTGCAAAGCTTGTCGAAGAGCTGCGTGCTACACACCTCAATAAAACTCCCACAGAGGTAATGGAGTGGGTTCCCCAGGTGTTTGATCAACTTGTAGGGAACACCTATGAGTATATTGGATCCCCGGGGCTCCATTATACAACAGGCTGGGCAACTTTTGGGAAATTAATTGAAGTTATCGAGAGCCCATAATGGTGTTGAATGGAATATTTGACCTGATTCTGCAGCGGCGTCTTTAATGCTTTGAAATTTATATTGAACTTTTCGAGAACATTGCCTCATAGAAGCAGGAGGCTCAGGCATCAGAGAGACACAAGACAGGAAGCCGAATCGGAACAGCTGCATCAGATGTTCTTCGGTGATTTTCAGGATCAATTGTTCAAATTACTGTCACACGCACCTAGTTTAAACACCTGAACTGATGATTTCATTCTGCTAGACATTGTGCACTCAAGTCTAGAGAAATGACATCACTGGTCTGATTTGGAGCTGACATGACCGTGCTACAAATGCGCACTGGCAGAGCATTAGTTCCAGCATCATTGATGTGCAAGTTCCACAGTGCACGGCAGGTCTTGGGCAAATGTAAGGGTAATGTGTGGCCGGGAGAGAGGGAAGAGACATGGAAGAAGAGAGGAAGGGACATGGAAGTCGGAACCCATTTCCCCCAGCCAGGTATTGCAATAGCCGAAGCGCTCGTTTGCAGTCGATTCAAGTACCAGATCCCAAAGGCTCTTTGGTAGTGTCATTCTTCCAAACAACAGCACCCACAATTGAAGTTGATAATCCAAAGTGCTTGTTCTCAAAAAGGAAATTTCATTTCATCCGTGGCCTTCCCGCCGACCGTAACTGAGGTGAAAAATCTGAAATTTTTTATTTCAAATTTTCCAGCTCAAAATTCACCAGTTTTTCAGGTAAAAAACATTGGTGAAAAACTTGAAACCTGGTCGTCTGAAAATATTATTCGCCTTTTTTCTTTTCCAGTTTTCCCTCGAGTGTCACATAGTTTGAGAGGTTGTAACTGAAGCATTCACTGGTTGAGGGATTCAAGTTTTTCAGCCCAATTTACGGTAAAAAATGTCGTTTGTTTTTCAGACATTTTTCACCGAAAAAGTACGTGGAAAATTCAAACATTTTTCACGACTTTTTGACTTTCTTTTGAATTTTTCACCTCGAGCTCAAAAAATAGTGAAAATGATTTGAGTTTTTCACCTACTTTTTCAGTGAAAAATGTCTGAAAAACAAACAACATTTTTCACCGTAAATTGTGCTGAAAAACTTGAATCTCCCAACCAGTGATTGCATTCGAGACCTGGTCGTCTGAAAATTTCATTTGCTTTTTTCTCTCTTGTCCAGTTTTCCCTCGGGGAAAGAATGAAGAAAGAAAGTGCATTTTGACCACCTCGAGTGTATCACATAGTTTGAGAGGTTGCAACTGAAGAATGGGGTGGGAGCAGCACATGTATATTGGTGGTCAGCGGCTGTATACTTTTTTTTATGACATGTACCTCTCCCAGTGGCTTCAGCACTTCTGTTGGAGCCAAATAAAAATAATTTTGAACTGTTTCAAAAGTACAGGATATAAGGAGACAACTTGGAGATATGATCGGAGTACACAAGGATGTTTTGGAACCAATTAAATTTTGTTATTCGGTGGGCTCCTGAGCAAGCTTTCCGCTGCAGATCAAATTTCATGGGCGAAGGTGTCAGTGAGTCCACGGGACACGTAGTAATGCGGGTGGTATGTGTCATGATCACGCCCGGATCACGACTCGGCATACTCGGATCAGCACGGCACGAACGGCAACGCTTTTCAAATTCCGATCGAAGTTATTCAAACCAGGAGGTTTCGATCGGCATTGAAACCCCCTCTACGCCAACAAACTGTTGCATTAACCCTGCACAGTGATTAGTTACTAGGAAACAGCGATCACCAAGTATATTTATTTTACTATATAATCAGTAGTAGAATCTCCTGTACAGTAGATTCTACCTCGTCTAATCTCAGGCCCACTTTGGCTTGATACTGGCTTGCATTCTCGCTTTAGACCCCATCGACTCTCATTCCCTCCGGGGTCTAATTCTATCCACACCCCGCACTACGAAGGACAGCGTCCTTGTACCCCGGGGTGTAATTTCTCATACCCCGACATTCGGTGAACGGCTCTTCACGTATCTCGGGGTCTAGACTCGCGCATACCCCGACATCAGGTGGACGGTATCCACACATCTCGGGGTTCAGACTTGCCGACAGGTCGTATACGCTGTGCGACTGTCGAGGGAACACGGACAGGGGTTTGAAGTCCTAGTTGGGATCTGTACCAGAAGCCGCCATCAGGCCGACCCAGGGTCGTCACTGACAGTATGTTGGCAGAAAATTAGGTACGGAACTGCCTCTTGCGCAGGCAAAACAATCTTCTCATGCAGGGAAAACAAGCTAACATGCTCAGTTTTGGTCATTTTGCCGGTGGATTTTCTACCACAGGTCAGATATCACAAAGAGAGGTACTGATGGGTCCCTGGGGAGCATAGTAATGCGTGTGCCATGTTAGTAGAAAATTCAGTGGGGAATCGCCTCTCGCACGGGCAAAGTAATCTTCTCACATGGTGTGATGCGGACTGCTGTTCTGTGAACTGCCTGACCCGGGGTGGGTATAGTCAAGTAGTGTTTACATAATTTAATTCGTCCTCTAGGGGGAAATTGCTCTGTCATGGAGCTGTGTAGTTAAAGGTACGCTAATGCGCGATATATAATTTGTGGTGTGTGTGTGTGTGCAGTTCTCTCCGTTTGGATGGAACACTTTGCCAGGTTCCTCGAAGATTTGGTTCTTCGTTAGGGGCTGGCCTTCCGAAGGTACTGCGGATGGATAGTTTTCTACACTTGCTCGAAGGGTTCACTCCCCAATGCGAATGCTGTTCCGTTCCGGAGTACTTGGGTTATCTGTTATGCTTTATCCACCCGTCTCGAACGTGTCGGACGGCAGGTTTCTTCAATACAGTGTAACACTATACGGAAGGCTATAGCGATTCCCTTCATAGCCTGGTTTCTCCGTTGTGAACACCTTGAAACGGAGTCACTTCCGTTTCGAAGACTTGGGGGTGAAGTGTGCAAATGGGATGGGGGAAATGGTATGATCGTGTAGGATAGGCCTTCTGTATACGATGTGGTGGGTTCCTTGCAAGGATATGCGTTCGAACTCCGAAAAGGAACGGTTGCACAAAGCCAAGTCAGGCGACTGGCCGTTTGGTGGTGTGCCGTGTAATCTACTACCGCGCGCTTTCAACTCCAGATTGACTATATTTCTTCTGTATCGATTTATCGAAACGGAGGTGAGATGGACGGGGTTTCTTGACAAGCCCTGGCCTTTTTTAGGTGACCTTGGTTTGTCCTACTATTGGGCGGCACGACCCGTAGCGGAGTGTATTTAATTCCGTATCATACAGCTGGCTTTTATACCATACTCTGTCCGATACTCACACGTGTACTTATACCTTTAATTGGAAACGGACGTTCCTCCTTTTCAGTTCTGACTTGCCTCTGTGATCGTCCACGCGTTCCTGATTCTGAAGGGGTTAGAAACTGACTCAGAGCAGCCTCGTGTCGCCTCCGTTTCCCGTTTCAGTCACCCCATTTCCCAAGAACCACCTGCGTTCTCCGTTCAGTCGCTCCGTTTCCCATACCGCAACCACTCCGTCTTCTGTTTGCCCCCTCGTTTCCCTCTCCTTAGCACCGGCCACATGGCGCAACGGTAGCATGCGCGAGATTCGTATACGTTGACCAATGTATGCTCGCGAGGTCTTCGTTCGATTCGGAGTCTGGCCACTGATACACCATCACGAAAATGCTTTTGCCCCGTTTTGTTGTTGAGTGAGTGCCATTGAGCTTTTGAGTGAACGCGCATTGAACGACCAGGTAGCACATGTGAGAATCAATATTTCCTGCTTGCAGGTCGAACGGAGTCTGGATTAATATATAGTGTCGGGTCTGTCTCTGTTGACACTCCCTGTCCTAATCATGGCCAGGTGGCGGAATGGTAACACATGCAAGATGAATAGTGCCTGCAATGTTTACTCGCGAGGTCTCCATTCGATTCGGGGTCTGGCTTTGTGGAATGGTGTGAGTTTTTTCGTTCGGAAGCGCGGCAATTGTTCTTTTTCCTGAATACAGAGTCGCAATCGTGAAAGCACATTCTTCCTCCCGTTTGGCTACTTTTGGAGCGCATCACAAAGTGACAGCTCACAACGGGGAAAACAAGCTGACATGCCCAGTTTTCGTCATTTGACCGGCAGATTTTCTACCGCGGGTTGGGTATCGCAAACGGAGGCACTGATGGGTCCCTGGGGCTCATAGCAATGTGCATGCCATGTTAGTAGAAAATTTGGTGCCAAATTACCTCTCATGCGCGCAAAATAATCTGAAGTGCCCACTTTCAGGCATCTAGCTGGCAGATTTTCTGCTGCAAATCCGTGGCAGGTCAAATGTCATGGGCGAGAGTGTCGGTGAGTCCGGACTCTGCGGGACACATGGTGAAGCGGGTGGTATGTTGGCAGAAAAATTGGTGCACAGTTACAGCCGTTTGCATAATTCCGTGAAAACACGATTTTTTTTCTTGCTCGGGCCGGTGTTCCGGAGGGCGAAAGTAGTGGTTCCTTCCATCGGGCCGACAAGTTGACTTGTCGGTAAGGCCGGGCTACAACCTCGGAAGTCTGCCCATACCAACCCGAGAGTACCTTCGGTCAGTGAGCCTTTCGGCATCGTCGGCACGAGCACGTGGGCGCGAAAAAAAAAATCGTGTTTTCACAGACTTATGCAAACGGCTGTAGCTCTCATGCGGGCAAAATAATCTTCTCATTCGGGGAAAACAAGCCAAAATGCCCAGTTTTTGTAGTATGGCTGGCAGATTTTCTACCACAGGTCAGATATCGCAAGGGGAGGTACTGATGGGTCCCTGGGGAGCATAGCACCATGGGCGGCATGGTGACACATCAAAATGCACTTCTCCGAGGCAAAACTGGAAAAGAGAAAAGCAAATGAAATTTACACAAGGATGTTTTGGAACCAATTAAATTTTGTTATTCAGTGAGCTCCTGAGCAAGCCTTCTGCTGCAGATCAAATTTCATGGGCAAAGGTGTCAGTGAGTCTGCGGGACACGTATTAATGCGGGTGGTATGTTGACAGAAAATTAGGTACAGAACTGCCTCTTGCGCAGGCAAAACAATCTTCTCATGCGGGGAAAACAAACTAATGTGCCCAGTTTTCGTTGTTTGGCTAGCAGATTGTCTACCGCGGGTCAGATATCGCAAACAGGGGCACTAATGGTTCCCTGGGGAGCATAGCAATGCCAGTGGTATGTTGGTAGAAAAATTGGTGCGCAGTTGGCTCTTGCGCAGGGGAGACAATCTTCTCATGCGGGAAAAATAAGCTAATGTGCCCAGTTCTGGTCATTCGGCTGGCAGATCTTCTGCTGCCGTCAGATATCGCAAAGAGAGGCATTGATGGGTCCCTGGGGAGCATAGCAATGCACATGCCATGTTAGCAGAAAATTTGGTGTGGAATTGCTGCTTGCGTAGGCAAAGCAATCTGAAGTGCCCACTTTTGGGCATCTAGCTGGCAGATTTTCTGCTGCAAATCCGCGGCAGGTCAAATGTCATGAGCGAGGGTCTCGATGAGTCCACAGGACACATGGGGAAGCGGGTGGTATATCGGCAGAAAATTTGGTGTGCAATTACCTTTCACGTGGGCAAAACACTGGTCTCAACCAGGGAAAACAAGCCAAAATGCCCAGTTTTCGTAGTATGACTGGCAGATTGTTTACCATAGGTCAGATATCGCAAGGGGAGGTACTGACGGGTCCCTGGGGAGCATAGCACCATGGGGGGCATGGTGACACATCAAAATGCACTTCTCCGAGGCAAAACTGGAAAAGAGAAAAGCAAATGAAATTTTCAGGTCTCGAATCAGACACCTCGATAGGGCACCAGGAGAACATCACAGCCCGGATAACCGGCATCTGCAAGGAAGTATTTTCCCTGCGGAATAGCGAGGTCTGATCTGCAAGCGACGTTGAAAATTGCACTATCGGAGGCACTTCCTTCCCATCCAGTGAGGACATATATATATAGCTGCTCGAAATTGACTGCCGCCTGCACGTTGGTGGAGAGAAAACCCTTGCGATTGCGAAAATGGCCCTTTCGAGCATCATCCGACGGTGACATGCCAATTTGTGTACCGTCTAAAGCACCTCGTGCATCGTCAAAGAAAGGCGAAAATTTGGGATTGTCGGTGATATGAGCCTATGTCCGCATTACACAACCCTGGGCGGTTTTTTATTGTCACGGCCAACAGCAATAATTAAATCGTGCCCTTGGGGCAGCATCCTCCCCTATCAATGACGATGTATGGAAATGATAATGCGTGCGGGCAACACTTTGTTGAACCAACTTAAAGGAGTCACGATCAAAAAGAAGCAGATTCAGAAGTGTGGGTGAGTTGAAAGACTGCTGAAGACTTACTGCACCAAGATGTGGGTGAAAAACGCGGATGTGGTGCATTATTGCCCCCAGTATTTCGGCCGGATTTCCGCCCCAACAAGTGAAGTAATTGATCGGGGTTCGATTCCCTGCGTCCGCATTGCGCATCGATCTGATCTTTTGAAAAAAAAAGATGTTCCTGGTACTAGCACTTTCACTGCGGGCTCAATTTTTGCGTCGCAAACTGCACACAAAACTTTCAGCGAACAATATTCGGCGCTTTGACCAACCGTGGGATTTATCACCCGCTTCCATTAACCCCACTCGGCACTACGTTATCTGATCTCCCGCCACCACCGACTCAACTCTAGTCACCGCAACGATGCCCACCCCGTCCGAATTCCTCTCATGGTCGACGCCTCCACCGACGCGTTTATTGTGTCCTCACGCACGCCGTCTCCATCCCCTCCATCTCCGGTGACCCCGCCTACCGTAGGGTTCTGTTTATAATTCCCGGAAGAATTATAAACAATTTTTATGTAATTTCTCGTTTATAAACAGGGACGGTCGGCCCTACCGTCCCTGCGTGCAAGAAATGTCCGACTGGCTCAACGCCGAGCTCAAGAAAGTCGGGGTCGAGACTAAACAGGTCGATCTCGGGAACCATGTTATGGACGGCCAGACTTTACCCTTGCCCAACGCCATCCTTGGGAAGATCGGGAACGACAAGAACAAGAAACTGTCTTGATCTATGGACACTTTGACGTCCAGCCCGCATCGCTGTCGGACGGGTGGGCGTCCGAGCCGTTCACGCTCACCACGCTCCCCGCGTGGCCGTCGTTAAATTTGAAGCAGTGTGGCGTCTGCATCAGTTGTGGCCACAACATGCTTTTTAATCTCCTCCCACATTCATCCCTAACTTTGAATTTGATGAAGCATCCACCCTAGTGATGTTCCAGGTCAGGACTTGAGCCCGAGCCCGGGCCCGGCCTTTGAGCCCGACCCGACCCGACCCAAAGTACAGCCCAAGTCAGGCTCAAGGTCGGGCTCAGCTTTTTTCAGGGCCCCTGACCCTGGGCTTGAGCCCGGACCCAACCACATGACTATCCCAAGTCAAAATCTTGCTATAAGTTTGGGTTGAAAACCTAAATTTTACCTGTAACGGAAGTTGATTGGAAGTATCTTTTCCCTTTAGTGCTCACTCGAGGATGGGCAGGTGAGTTGATATTCACATGATGTTCCGTGGATATTAGAGTGGTCGAAACAAGGTCAGTGGGTTGTTGCTGGCTCTCAAAACATAATTGAGTACTTTACCAAGGTAAGATACAAGTAATGTATGCATCAAAATTTAAAGTTAAACCTTGCCCAACACACTTAGAAAATTGAGTGCATAGTCGATTGGTAGAACTCCGCAGATCTCGGAGTTGCTCAATGTAGGTGATAAGGGTCGATTAGACGTTTGAGACAACTCGACAGCGTTAGGACCTCGGCCACCGGGACAGCAAACGGAAAATCGTGATTCGTGCGAGCTCATGGAATAGAATGGGAGTCCACAATCCCAGCGCAAAACCGAAGATGAACATATTTAATTTAATACACGTTGCTGACCCAGACTGAACTCGATAATTGGGCTTGCCCGAGATGGCCGGAACATGCTGTTGTTACTGGGCAAGTACGATATGTGGAAGAGAAAATGAGAGCAACGAATAGAGCTTTAATTCCTACTCTTGGAATGTTTGTTGTGTTAATACTCGGGGTGCTCTTTCAATCACTGACCTTTCCAGGATCATTTATTCTGACTCAGCTTCACACTAAAGCGAGGTACATGTTAAAACGTTCCACCTTGATCTGGATATTCTGTCCAGTAGCACAATTAGGTTCTCGACATTCAGTGCAGATGCCGCAGAGATCATACAAGTCCAGAAGCCTCCGAGGCAAAGAATTGTCATGGATTTCACGGTATGTTAGGACACGCAGTTTAAAAGGATGTGGAGCAATCCAGAGGCCTCTTTGATGACATTCCGGTCCAAGTTAACAAAATTCAACGGTGAGAAAATAATTTCTTCCACTGATGGCACCGCTAGAATGATTCTGGGTGCCGCTGCGGGACTACATTGTTTATGTTGAGTGACGGTGTATGAATTCGGTAGGTTGAACCCTCCAGGGAAGGTTGGGAAGGTCGCATGAAAACAAATGTGGATCGGATGTTTATCTTCCCGGCCTCTTGGCTTTATCTCTCATGTACGCTAGCCGCTCGCAAGCTCGCATAGCTTCAGCTCTCAGCCAGCTCGCCGGGCAGGATCAGTCGTACAGATTTCTGAGAGAGGATCAGGATGAGGACAGCAGAGGGT